GGTTTATTTAGTTGTTCTACCTCTGTTTGTGTTAGTTTAGGTAGGTAGTAAGTATGTTTCTAGAAATTTGTCCATTTCCTCTAGGTTTTCAAATTTGTTAGAGTGCAGTTTTTCATAGTATTCTGTTATGATTCTTTCAGTTTCATTTACGTCTGTTGTGATATCGCCCATCTCATTTCTTATTTAAGTTATTTTGCTTCCTCTCCTGTTTTTCTTTTGTCAGTTTGACCAATGGTTTATCAATTTTGTTGATCTTTTCAAAGAACCAGCTTTTGGTCCTGTTAACTCTTTCGATTGTTTTTCTATTATCTGTTTCATTTAATTCTGCTCTGATTTTTGTTATTTTCTGTCTTTTGGTGCCTGAGGGCTTCTTTTGCTGCTCTCTGTTTGTTCAAGTTGTAGAGTTAATGTTTTGATTTTGGCCCTTTCTTCTTTTTGCATGTGTACATTTATTGCTATACATTGACCTCTGAGCGCTGCTTTTACTGTGTCCCAAATGTTCTGGTACGATGTGTTTTCAGTCTGATTTGATTCTGCGAACTTCTTTATTCCATCCTTAATTTCTTCTGTAACCCAGTAGTTTTTGAGCAAGGTGTTTTTCAGTTTCTATGTGTTTGATTTTTTTTTTCCTTACTTTTTCTGTTATTGATTTCTACTTTTATGGCTTTATGGCCAGAAAAGATGCTTTGTAATATTTCAGTGCTTTGTATTTTGTTAAGGCTTACTGTATGGCCTAATATGTGGTCTGTTTTGTAGAATATTTCATGTGCCCTGGAAAAGAAAGTATACTTGGCTGCTGTTGAATGGAGTGTTCTGTATACGTATATGAGATCAAGTTGGTTTATTATGGCATTTAGATCTGCCATGCACTTATTGAGCTTCTTTCTGGATGTTCTGTCCTTCACCAAAAGTGGTGTATTGAACTTTCCTGCTGTTATTGTGGAGCTGTCTCTCTTTTCAATGCTGTCAGAGTTTGTTTTATGTATTTTGGAGCCCTGTCATTGGGTGCATAAATATTTATTATGGTTATGTCCTCCTGGTGTATTGACCCTTTAATCTTTATATAGTGTCCTTCCTTACCCTTTGTGATGGATTTTACTTTAAAGTCTGCTTTGTCAGAGATTAATATTGCCGCTCCTGCTCTTTTTTGATTGTTGTTTACTTGATATATTTTTTTCCATCCTTTGAGCTTTAGTTTGTTTGTGTCTTTAAGTCTAAGATGTGTCTCTTATAGGCAGCATATAGACAAATTGTGTTTTTTTATCCATTCTGCCACTCTGTGTCTCTTTATTGGTGCATTTAGTCCATTTACATTCAGCGTAATTATCGATACATATGATTTTAGTGCTGTCATTCGATGTGTTTTTTTGTTGTTTACAGTTTCTTTATTCCACTTAATTTTTTGTGCTGAGTCGTTTTTCTTTATGTAGTGTCTTTCCATCTTTTTCATTATTGTTGATTTTGTATCTGCTGAGTCTTTATATTTTTCTTGTTTTTATTTTGATGTGTAGGGTTGTTAGTTTCCTTTATGGTAACCTTAATATTTACCCCTATTTTTCTAAGTTTAAACTGATCTTTTATTTCTTTATATCACCTTGACTTCCTCTTCATATGAGAGATCTGTGACTCCATTTTTTTAGTCCCTCTTTTTAGTTTTAATAATCTCCATCTTTTACATATTAACATCTCTGTTTCCCTGTTTTCAGCATTTTAGCTTTGATTTACTTTTTGACTTCCCTATCTGCACTGACACCTGGTGGCTCTGTCCTGTGTTCTAGTCTTGGTTTGTTATCTGATGTTATTGATTTTCTAATCGGAGGACTTCCTTTAGTATTTCTTGTCATTTTGGTTTGGTTTTTACAAATTCCCTATATGTCTGTTTATCTGAAAATGCCCACATCACGTACCCACATATTTTAGAGACAGTTTTGCTGGATATGTAATTCTTGGCTGGAAGTTCTTTTCCTTCAAGGCTTTATATATGTCATTCCATTGCCTTCTTCCCTGCATGGTTTTTGCTGAGTAGTCCGAGCTTAGTCTTATTGACTCTCCTTTGTCAATGACTTTTCATTTATCGCTAGCTGCTCTTAAAATTCTCTATCTTTGGTTTTGGCAAGTTTGATTATAATATGTCTTGGTGACTTTGTTTTAGGATCTACCTTGTGTGGAGTTTGATGAACATCTTGGATAGATATCATCTCATCTTTCACGACATCAGGGACGTTTTCTGCCAACAAATCTTCAACAGTTCTCTCTGTATTTTCTTTTATCTTTCCCCTGTTCTAGTACTCCAGTCACTCATAGGATATTTCTCTTGCTAGAGTCCGACATAATTCTTAGAGTTTCTTCATCATTTTAAATCCTTTTATATGATTTTTCCTCAAATAAGTTGGTTTCAAGTGGTTTATCTTTAATCTCACTAATTCGTCTCCTATGAATTTCTGTTGAGTTGTCTAATTCTGAAATTTTATTGTGAATCTTTTGGATTTCTTTTTGCTGTCTCTCTATGGATTCTTGCAGCTTGTTAAATTTGTCATTGTGCTCTGCTATAATCTTCTTAAGTTCCTCTGTCGCTTTGTCTGTGTGTTCCTTGGCTAGTTTTGCGTTTTGCCTGATCTCCTTCCTGATCTCTTGAAGATTCTGTATATTAATCTTTTGTATTCTACCTCCAGTAATTCCAAGGAGTTATCTTCCTCCAGAAGATTTCTTGATTCTTTCTTTTGGGAGCTTGCTGAAGCCATCATGGTCTCCTCTTTATTTGATTTGATATTGACTGTTGTATCCGAGCCATCAATAAGTTATTATATTTATTTTATGTTTGCTTACTGTTTCTTAGCTTCTTGTTTTGTTTTGAGATGACCAAATAGGTTCTTTGTGTGAGTTAGTTTGATTGTTGGCAGCTTTGAATCTCTAACGTCCTGTCACTAGGTAGTTAAATCTGTTACTATGTGTGTGAGCCCAGGAGTCTGTTTACTTTTCTTGTATGGATTCAGCTCAGGTGTCCATGTAGTTGGTCACCAAGTGTGTGGTGCAGGTTCTTACCTACAGTCCTAGACGGGCAGGGGTGATTGGAGTAGGCACAGGTATCTTGCTGCAGTAGGGGGTCATGCGCTGAGCAGTGCAGGGTACTGACGGCTGCCTCTGAGTGTCTGGAATGAAAGCGTTTCCCTGTTCCCTAGAGTGCATAGGTGGGTGGGTTTTGCAGCTCGACTATGGGCACCCAGTGCTGTTGCTTGTAAGGACTAGGAGGCACCACTTTTTCTTGGACCCATGTCGCAGGTGGACAGGTGGCATGGGTGGAGCCACCAGTCCTGATGTGGGTATGTGAGGATCCTGTTTAATGGGCAGAGCGGTGTCAGATGTCACGATTTGCCACTCCATCGTATAGCTGATACAGCTGAAGTTAGGCTTCAGGTATATACCCTGTTGTATTGTGCTAATGAGGATCTACACTGTTTAAATGGGCCCATACAGGTGTATGCAGGGATGAAAAGCATTCAGAGTCCGTGGTCCCCTTATGCCTGTGCCTAGGCAAAGGAGCTGTGCCTGCCCCGAGTTCCTGGCTTAGGGGGGCTGGCAGATTATTTATTCCCGTTTGTTAATTTGTTCCCTCTCCAAGGCCATGAGAATGGCTCAGAGCACGTGAGCAGTCCTACTTCTGGCCCAGGGTACATGGCAATCACTGAAGCTGGCCCGCAACCCGGTGCAGAGAGGGGAGGAGGCAGCTAAATGGGAGAGAGGTTCTCCCCAAAGGGGGAGTTTTTTGATCTGTGCGGTGGGTTAGACGCACGTACTTATCTTTCTCTGACTGAGTGCCGCTTTTCACTGGTTCTGGAGTCTTGAATAGACTCTGCCACTCTGTCTCTCCCAATGTGGAAACGCATCCTAAATGCCACTGCGTGCCTTGCTGCAGACATCCAATCTGGCCTGCAGGGTGCCGGTTCCCACCGGGTGAGGTCTGACAACTCCTCACCACTTCCAAACCATCTCTCCCTTCCCCTGCCACTCAGTCCAATTCCTCAAGTTTGCCTTTGATGTTCAGGGCTCCTAGATTGTTATGTATAATTGATTCACTTTTTTTTAGTGGGGGTCTTTATTGTAAGAGGAACCACAGGTAACATTTGAGTACTCTGCCTTCTTAGCCCCACCTCCCTGCAGAATATTCTTAATGCCTCTCATGAAACCTTGTGTTCACTGTGTACAAACTAGTTGACCTTTTATAAAAAAGTGTTTAAAGACACTTTGCATATAGTGGCAAAATAGCCTCTGCTGTTAGGTAATATGTGTATGTAAGTAGACAGAACTTAATCAGAGCAGTAAATGATCCTGAGAACATTTTCTCTCTGTCTTAGTTGGGTTAATTCTCTTACCTTAGCTCATGAGAGAAGGAGGGCCTAATTTATAGGAATTAGTTAGACTACTATTACTAGGTCAGGTGTCTTTTTATTCTTAAGAAAATTGTGATATTGCAAGGGCTTCGAAAACCTATAGCTCCCTCAGATGAAGGATATAGTGTCATTCATTCTGCCTTTGGGTAAGCTTAACCCTTGTCTGATGTATAACAGTGAAACTTGAGACTTGTGATCTAAATTTCTAGTTTATTGAAAGCCATCCTGATAATGTCTTTTAAAACAATAAAATAAAAATGTTGTTTATAAGCAAGTATACTTCATTAAATGTTAGTTGTTTTTCCCTACTAGGGGCTCATCTGTTAAAACTGAGAAAAATAGCAATAACATTTCACTTTCGGAATTTTTTTTCTTTAGGTTTATTTATGTTTACCCAACTTTCGGTCTCTTACTGAGGGACACTGCCTGATAGTCCCTTTGCAGCACCATAAAGCAGCTACCTTATTGGATGAAGACATCTGGGAGGAAATTCAGGTCAGCATGATGATGTTAATTACAGCAACTGCAAATCGTGAACAATTTTTGCAAGCTATTGTGATGAGGTGCAATAGGTTTTATCCTTCATCTCATAATTTTACTTTCTGAACTTAAAAACACTTGTATAGATTGGCATAGCTGTATATACTTGTAGATCGTAATGTTTTGACACTCAATATGTTTCTATTTTCGTTTATGTATTCCGTGTTTGGAACACTGTTGTCTATTAAACTGTGTGTAATAAAGTAATAATTATTTTACTTAAAAATTCAATCTAAGACTTCAGGAGCAGGTGATGGATTTGAACTGCCTACCTTTTGGTTAGCAGCCGAGCTCTTTACCACTGTGCCACCAGGGCTCCACTTTTAAGTAGTATGAGACTATCATTCTTTCTACAATAAGCTAATAAATTCCAGCCAAAATGAAAGAAATTTTCAGGTAATAAAAGGAAATTTTAAGAGTTAGAGGCTTGTATTCAGCAGTTACCATATTTCCTTAGGACAGACTTGGCCTCTGCTGCTGTGATTTTATGGTGATTTTGTTACTAGCTCTAATTTCCATTTTTCCCATTCATAACGTTGCCCCACTTTTGGATTCAGGGATTTGTTTTTTATGGCTGATTCTTCAAGAGGTTGAAAGGCACGACATGAGTGAAATTACTGCTGAATTATTTCAAGACCTCATAATGACCAAAAGAAAGAAAGAAAAAAAAAAGCCTTGTTTTTCTAATTCATGACAACTGAATAGAAGTTGCAGGGACCACGAGTTAGAAAATGTGAAAATTGTAACACTTCAAAAGAGACTATAAAATAGTCTTTGCAACATACTGATAAAGATGCCAAAGGAAGGGAAATTTTGTCGTGAAATTCAGTCTCTTCCTCCTTATACTTTTTAGGTTTATGCTGTGAAAATTAAAGGGCAGATTATTTTAATGTATTGATAGTCAATATAGTGTAGGAATATGGATGACTGCTTTTAATATGAAAAATTTTTTCTAGTAGTAGTAAAAAATGTTTTTATTATGCTTTAGATGAAGGTCTACGGAGCAAATTAGTTTCTCATTAAACAATGAATACACATTGTTTTATAAAATTGGTTGCCAATCCCACAACATGTCAGCACTCTCCCGTTCTTGACCTTGGGTTCCCAAGAGTAGTAAAATTTTGCTGAAAATCCTTCAGAAGCAGTCGTAACAGTACATCGACAGGGAACTGCCAGAAATTCAAGCTGATTCACAAGAGGATGTGGAATCAGGGATATTATTGCTGATGTCTGATGGATCTTGGCTGAAAGCAGAGAATACTAGAAAGATGTTTACCTGTGTTTTATTGACTATGCAGAGACATTCAACTGTGTGGATCATGACAAATTATGGATAACATTTTGAAGAATGGAAATTCCAGAACACTTAATTGTGCTCATGAGGAACCTGTACATAGACCAAGAGGCAGTCATTCGAATAGAGCAAAGGAATACTATGTGGTTTAAAATTAGGAAAGGTGCACATCAGGGTTGTATCCTTTCACCATACTTACTCAGTCTGTATGCTGAGCAAATAATCTGAGAAGCTGGACTGTATGAAGAAGAACAGGGCATCAGGATTGCAGGAAGACTCATTAACAACCTGTGTTACGCAGATGACACAACCTTGCTTGCTGAAAGTGAAGAGAACTTGAAGCACTTATTGATGAAGATCAAAGGCTACAGCCTTCAGTATGGATTACACCTCAACATAAAGAAAACTAAAATCCTCACAACTGGGCCGGTAAGCAACATCATAATAAAGAGAGAAAAGATTGAAGTTGTTAAGGCTTTCATTTTACTTGGGTCCACAATCAACGCCTTGGAAGCAGTAGTCAAGAAGTCAAACGATGCATTGCGTTGGGCAAATCTGCTGCAAAATACCTCTTTCAAGTGTTAAAAAGCAAAGCTGTCACTTTAAGGACTAAGGTTTACCTGACCCAAGCCCTGGTGTTTTCAGTCGCCTCATATATGTGTGAAAGCTGGACATTGAGTAAGGAAGACTGAAGAATTGATTGATACCTTTGAAGTATGGTGTTGGCAAAGAACATTGAATATACCACAGACTACCAGAAGAACAAACAAATCTGTCTTAGAAGAAGTACAGCCAGGGTGCTCTTTGGAAGCGAGGATGACGAGACTTCATCTCACGTACTTTGGACATGTTATCAGGAAGGATCAGTCCCTGGAGAAGGACATCATGCTTGGTAAAGAAGATAGTCATCGAGAAAGAGGAAGACCCTCAATGAGATGGATTGACACAGTGGCTGCAACAATGGGCTCAAGCATAAGAACAATTGTGAGGATGGCACAGGAGTGGGCAGTGTTTTGTTCATTGTATATAGGGTCACTGTGAGTTGGAACCTACTCAGCGGCACCTAACAACAGCAGTAGTAGATGTCAGTGCCAGTAGGTAATTTAAAGTGGAAACTATAAATTTAGTTTCCAGAATTATTTTAGAACTTTCCTGGAATAACTTTAAAAAAAAATTATATGTGCACAACTCATTTATTTTGTAGCAAAAAACTTTTAAGTAATTACAGAAATCTAGTATGTACTTTTTATTTTTCTCTAACAAATTAAGCTACTTGATGAAAAATATTGAGGTAGATAAAGTAGAAATTTATTCATTTCAACAGATATTGAATACATGAATGTAAGATATTTTTCTAGGTGTTGTGACAGAGATAAAATTATTAATTCTGTCCAAAATAACTTTGGCATGTTCCAGTACAGGTTGCATTACAGTTTAATAGATTTTGCAAACCAGCTGCATTGTGGAAAATTTACTGAGGAAGGAAAAACCAAATTGTTTTATGCAAACAATGGCATTATAGCTCTTTTTTGTGTGATAAAAGAAAAATATTTGAAGTTATAAAACACTGCAGGGTAATGAACTAATGAAATATCTGAATCCCAGCATATTGAAAGTAATGCAGATTTTTTTTGTTTTGTTTTTAGTTTACTTTCAAATATATACAACAACTCAAATTAATTATGCCCTGATGACTATCCTATGACAACTGTTTTAATGAATATATAAAAAATGACTTAGCAAAAAAATATTGTTTGCAAATGCAGGAGCCACTTCTTTGAGGTGCTTTTTATTGCCATCGTCTAATAGTATTTAAATTTAAGTTTAGCCCTTTTATTTAATAGAAAATGCAAAGATAAGTTTCGGCAGAGCATAACTGAACAATAGCAAATTTCAAGTAAAAAATTGAAGTTGTTTATGATTTCATTCTACTTGGATAAGAAATCAGCATCTATGGAAGCAGCAGTCAGGAAATAAAGTGATGTATTGCTTTGAGCAAATCTGCTGCAAGAGACCTCCTTAAAGTTTTAAAAAGCAAAGATGTCACTTTGATGACTAAGGTGTGCTGGACCCAAGCCATGGTCTTCTCAATTGAATGTAATGCATGCAAAAGTTGAATAATGAAAAAAAGAAGACAGAAGAATTGATGCATTTAAACTGTTGTGTTGGTGAAGAATATTGAATAAGTGGACTACCAGAAGAATGAACAAATCAGTCTTTGTAAAAATGACATGGAGTCGATGTCTGACCTCCTCTAACTTCACAAGGGGGAAGGAGAATCAAGATCAACAGCCCAAGGCTGATTCCTGTGAGGTGGAGCGTAAGACATGCCTCCTGTCTCTGTCATCTTTACCATTTCTGACACCAATCATCCCTCCCACGGCACTCTCTACTTCTCTGCTGCATTCAATAATTTATTGCAGTGGCCACACAGAACTTAGAGACAATACGATTATGGGGCTTATTAGGGAAGTAACAGTTTATAATTCAGGTTCAGGAACACTCAGGATACAGTTCTTCCGTCAAGACAGCCTCTTCCCAGCCTTGCTCGCAGGCACGTCTCTCCCTGGCCCTTGGCCCCTGCTCAAAGACACTCAGCTTTCTCTCTCCATGGGCTGGGAATCCCACTGTCTTAGTCATCTAGTGCTACTCTGACAGAAATACCACAAGTGGATGGCGTTAACAAAGAGAAATTTATTCTGTCACAGTCCAGTAGGCTGCAAGTCCAAATTCAGGGCATTGGCTCAAGGGGAACACTTTCTCTGTCAGCTCTGGAGGAAGGTCCTTGTCATTAATATTCCCCTGGACTAGGAGCTTCTGCGCACAGGAACCCCAGGTCCAAAGGATGTGCTCTGCTCAAGGCACTGCTTTCTTGGTGGTATGAGGTTCCCATGTGTCTCTGCTCACTTCTCTAAGACACTGTCCAATCTTGTATACTGCATCAGTATAACTGCTGCTAATTCATCTTATTAGATCATAGTGATTGAATTTACAACACATAAGGAAATCACATCAGGTTAGAAAATGGTACACAGTTATACAATACTGGGAATCATGACCCAGCCAAGTTGACAGATATTTTGAGGGGACACAGTTCAATCCATGACACCCACCATGCCATCTCCTGCTACTGGATCTCTGTGCCAGGTCTCTGCTGCTGGGTCTTTTCTGCTGCTTCTCCCTGCCTTCAGTGTTAACAGCTCTCTGTCTCTGTCTCTCTCTCTGCCTCCTGGTTCTAAGAGCTTCTCAGCACAGGGATCCCAGGTCCAAAGGATGTGGTGGCTCCTGGCTGTTCTTTCTTGGTGGTGGTGGGATCTTCTCCTTCCCACCTCTGGGATGGCTCATTTCAAGCCCAGCGGGATGGCAGAACTGACCAATCCCAATGGTGGGACACAATTACCCTATCTGCACAGTTCTGCCCAATCACTTGGGTGGAACCATGGCAAGAAAGGTCACACAAAAGTGATTCATCACACCGTAGTCTTAGAAGAAATACAACCAGAATGTTCCTTAGAAGTTACAATGTTGAAACTTCCACTTGCTTACTTTGGATCCATCATCAGGAAACACCAATTGTTAGAAAAGGACATCATGAATGAAGGAAACCGTCAATGAACTGGACTGACACAGTAGTTTCAATGGTGGACTCAGATACTAACGA